TGAACTTAACCACCTCCTGACCGGCCCTTGTATATAAACAGCCGGACGGTGGCACTGCAGGGTCGGGTGGCCGTTTATAAACAGCCTCCCCACACCCTGCTTGTGCGCACTCCCCGGGAGTGCGCAGCACCGCGATCTGATGCCCGCTGTGTCCTCCGGACACATTGAAACACCGATCGTCGGACGGCACCTCTGTACGAGGTCCCGATCATGTGATCACTGATTGGCCAATCAGTGATCACATGCAAAGTAGTAAGCAAGATGTCACTTGTGACATCATTGCTTACTACATGTGAAATCTGTGAATGATCACAGAGGTCACATGGTACAAGGCTATTCACAACAGCCTTGTACCATGTGATAAGCTGTGACCAATCACAGCTCACTCAGTAGTTCTCAATGGCTGCAAGAATGCAGACAGAGAGAAAGAGAAATGATTGCTTTTACATCCTATATGGGTGTAAAAGCAATCAGTGTAAAAAAAAAAAATCTTCATCACCCCCAAAAGTAGTACAGTGTCACCATGGTGACACTGTACCGCTAGGGTGACAGTATGTAAAAAAATTAAATAATATAAATAATAATAAAAAAAAAATGTTTAAAAATGATAATTTTTGGTTATAAACTAATTTGGCTTATTTTTTTTACTAAAAAGATAACTGAATAAATTTTGGCCAAGATTTATGATGAAATATTATTTATTTGCAAAATTTTATAAGAAAAACACTTTTTTTTTCAAAATTTTTGGACATTTTCATTTACATAGCAAAAAAAATTCAAATCCCAGCGGTGAATAAATACCACCAAAATAAAGTTTTTATCTGTTTCAAAAAAATGGTAAAAAATTCATATGGGTACAGTTTTGCATGACCGCGCAATTGTCATTCAAAGTGTGATAGCGCTGAAAGATGAAAATTGCCCTGGTCAGGAAGGGGGTAAAAGTGTCCGGACTGGAAGTGGTTAAAGTGAAGCCAGACGTTGCTTTGCATATGCAGCAATTTTAGCAGTTAGTGTTGCCAAACACTGTACAGACATAAAATAGATGGATGTAAAGTAACATTGTTACTTGTGTATCTACTCCGTTTCATTCTACTGCAGATCATAGAGATGAGCTTTGATCTGCAGCAACCTGGCAAAAAAAGTTGTTTTTTTCATATGTGACTCTATTTAACGACTCTATTTAACCCCATATTATAGCGCTCAGCATAAATGAGTACACCCTTTTTTGAAAAGTAAGATTTTAATCAATATCTCAATGAGCACAAGAACAATTTCAAAAATTTTTACAAAACTTAGTTTTTTATAGAGCATTTGTTTAGCTCATTACATGAAAGGGAGGTTAATAATATGACTTAGATTACAAAATCTTCAGTTTTACTCAAATTAGTTGATGCAAAAATGAATACACCCCACAACAAAAACTACTCCATCTAGTATTTTGTATGACCTCCATGATTTGTAAGAACAGCACCAAGTCTTCTAGGTATGGAAAGCGCAAGTTGGTGACAACATCTATGTTTTTCCATTCTTCAAGAACAACCTCTTTTAAAGCCTGGATGCTGGATGGAGAGTGATGCTCAACTTCAGAATTCCCCATAGGTGTTTTATTTAGTTCAGATCAGGAGACATACTTGGCCACTGAATCACTTTCACCCTGTTCTTCAGAATTGCAGCAGTGGCCTTAGATGTATGATTTGGATCATTGTCATGTTGGAAAAGTTCATGACGACCAAGGGAATGATGGTAGCATCTTCTCTTTCAATATAGAGCAGTACATATGTGAATTCATGATACCATCACTTAAATGCAGCTCTCCGACACCAGCAGCACTCATGCAGTCCCACAGAAGGACACTGCCACCACCATATTTCACTGTAGGCACATTTAACTCGTTCTCATCACTCCAGAGTACCAGTAATCTTCTTCTTCAGCAAATTCTAGGCAGGTCTTTATATGCATGGGCTTTAAGTGAGGCTTTCTTCGTGGACGACACCTGATTTAGTCGAGGACCTAATCGTCCAGTGCTTATCTGTTCCTGTCCTAATTTATGATGCTGGCCAGCCTCTGGAATGTGCGCACACTGGAAGAAACTCACGCTGACACACAAGTTCAGTCTATGAATGCTTCTAGTATATTATAATGAGAAAGTGAGCTTATATATGAAGAATGATGCAAGAGTCATGTGAGAACAGCATAAGCATTATATTAGTCTTTGATTGGTCATTTCCACACGAAAACAATCTCCGTCATGGTATAGGTGTGATCTTCTTCCAGGCCTTATCTTTTTAGGAAAACATTCTTTTGTCTTCCAAATCACACGGTGGGAGGGGGTCTGTGTGTGTGAGCAGATATTTCTTAAGCAAGGATTTCTTATAGTACCACAAAGCCCAGCAGGCAGAAAATATTCACACAACATATGTATTAAAGTATAAAAGTAAATATTTATAAAACTTATAGAAATAGCGTGTATGTATATATATATATATATATATATATATATATATATATATATATATATATATATTCAACAGGAAACAGAATAGGCATTTTACCAAATCCATCACACACCCATGCAGTGTACTCCATATTGTGTCACAGGAAACAATCACCCTAGTTTGGCTTTCTACTTTCTCCAACCCTTCTCATCAGAATACACTCCTGTCGAGGTGTTAACTTCTGTGAATGGCCTGGACTTCTCTTTGAGATGCTTGCAGTTCCATCTTTGTTACATTTTTGTATCACTTTTGCTACAGTACTCTGATTGATAAGTAAAGCTTTGCTGATCTTGTAGCCTTCAGCTTTCTTGTGTAAAGAAATTATTTTCTTTCTCGGCCTTGTGACATTCCTCTTCCATGTGGTGCCATTGTTGGTAACATGAAATGGGAAGGGGTTTTCTTTAAGTAATGCCCTTTTATAATCAACTGTCTGCTGGACACCTGTTTAATGAATAATTAGACTCACTTGTATGTTGAATGCTTGTTAACTAGGATTTTGTTGTCTAAAATGTAGCTTTGCTCTTAAGACCTTCATTGGGGTATTAATTTTTGCAACATGGTCTTGAATGAATTTAAGAGAAATAATTTTTGGTGTGTCCCCATTTGTGGGAGTATTTTGCGGTATAGTGCTCCACAGAAGATGTTGATTCTGAGAGGAAAGTAAAGATTTTCTGATAAATCTGTTAGAATGTACTCATTTGTGCTGAGGACTGTATGTTTTAGTTTACCCCTGTTGACCCTAATTAACTCCCTCTTCTTCTTTCTCCCAACTATTATCCTGCAGATGTTTTGTTTATTTCTATTTTTATTAACACACTAATATTTAATTTTTTTTGCTTTTTTTTATTTTATTTTTTTTATCAGTGTCACATTAAAAAAATGCAAAATTTGAAACAAAAACTCTATTTTAAAAAAATGTGTTAGGAAAGGAAATATTTGCAGAGCCATTATACATTTCCTTTACACATGCTATCACAAATAAAACAGTATCTTTTTTATGTAAAGCCAAAGTAGATGGTCAGTTTTGCTAATACACTCCAGGTGCATTAAAACAAAGGGTATGCAAAGTCTTAGGTCTTAGAGGCAGAGCAGACACAGACCTGTCATCCGCTTGCTCAGCGGGGATCAGCGGAGAGATCCCACGCTGAGCAAGCTGATCCGATAAATAGGTCCACTCCATCTGAAAGGACCCTTAGAGCACAAAACATTTGCTGTGTTTTTTTTTAAACTTTATTGAACATTTATAACCAAGCATTCCAATTATGTCTATGCAGAAAAGTGTGTTGAGACATGCTGCCATACATGTTAAAACATTGTTGTGAATTTTGTAAAAATGCAGACACCCTGCATTTTAAGCTGATCAGCTGTATGGTGTGAATAGGGCACACAGAGAACAATTGTTTTTTATGTGTCCTTGCGTTGAGCCTATATTGATCAATGCAGAAAAATGCACATGAATGCACATCAATGGACAAGGTGTGATTGAGCCTTTATAAAAAACACACAATTTAATAAATTTGCATTAGGAACGGTTCACAGTAGAATGCAGTGCAGGAAAGCCATGTTCCATGCGTGTTTTCCATTCAGAACACACTGACTTTATGATCTGCTAGGGGGTGCCAAAACGTTAACAGCACATAAAACATAGATTCTAAATGCGGTACATTGCGGGAACCAGATCACATGATATCACGGTACCATGTGATTTGGTGCATGCACTACTCTTTTTGCTTTTCAGTGTGATTTGCAGCTATTTCATTTGAATGGCCTGCCAAATCGTGCTGCAAGGGAATACACAGGAATGCAATGTGTGTTCTGTGTGATTTTAAGGTGAACCAGCCTTTAACTCCTGACCCCCCTATTTAGATGCTATCAGGTAGGCCTTTGCACTACATAGTTAAAGGTAAATCTAAAGGAAATTGAACAAGAAAATTGTACAATGTATGGCCAGCTTTAAGTTCCTCTTTATTATGAATATAAAATTGGTTGCCGTAACACAATTCAGTAAACAAAAATAAACACGAAATAAAACAAATGTAGGAAAGGTATCCTTTGCAAAAACATATTTTTTTTGTATTCCTGAAATAAAATCTGATCTCCAGGAACATATGAAAAAATTCAGTGTCCCTGGATTCCAAGACTGGCTAGAGAGCTTTATTAATCTTTTGGGAAATAAAACAGTTTTCATATACATGTATATTTTGCTGAGTATTTAGCTTTTGACGTGGAGTTCAGCTTTAAAAAAGTTACAAAACTGGTCAGTTTATGGAAAAATGTTCTATATTTTCATTTTGGAAAATAAAAATATTGAAATGGGGAAAACTGTTACAATATACAATTATGGGGACACAGTATAAAGTAGATGCTTATTGATGCTGTGTTTTGTATATATTGCATGATCGGTTAGATGCATTCATTTTTAATGTAGTTCTTTATTTATACATATTTTTATTGCTTCAGTGTATAACAATGACTGTTGTAATGTTTTATATATTTAATCTGTAGGTCTTATAAGTGTTGTTGAACTGGGTGCACAAGCTATAATGCTGGAGCTGGCCACATCAGCTTATATGGTGAGTGTTCTTGATTGGTAAATTTTAAAAAGAACCTGCTTCTAATGGTCAAGAAATTACTAATTATAGTTTTCACCTCTGTCCTCAGTACCTACTATTATCACTAAAATTGAGAAACGTATTAGATTCTTTTATCGTAAGATGTCCAGTATCATTTAATGCACTTCAAGGTTAACAGTTAGAAACAGTACCCAGAAACGGAGCACTGCAAATGTGAATGCACAAAAAGGTAATGATGAAAACCTTGACACAATTGATTACGGGAATAGAAAAGCTTGTACCCTGATTAACCCATTGACGCCGACGTAACACAAATATGCGGCCTCACGGACCTGGGCTTTTTTCCGTGGGGCCGCATATTTGCGTACCTGTCTTTGCGTTGGGAGCGCGCTCCCAGCACCGAGACCGCGGTGTCACTGAGAGCACCGGGTCCCGTTCTAACGATCGGGACCCGGGACTCCCGGTCCCGGGTCACATGATCACTGTGATAGCCTCTGATTGGCTATCACAGTGATCAGTCACTGTGCAGCCCGGCCCCCTTGTTTTTTTTTTCTCTCTCTCTCTCTATGAATGGAGAAGAGAGATACATTGTATCTCTCGAACTCCTGTCAGAGAGAAGAAAAAAAAAGTTTGTAAAAAGATAAATAAATAAATATTAAAAAAATAAAATAAAAAATAAAAAAAAATACCTAGATCAAGGTTTGATCTAGTTCAGTGCCAGGGTTAGTGTTTAGGTCAGGGTCAAGGTCAAAGGTCAAGGTCAGGATTTAAAAAAAAAATTGGTATCAGTGTCAGTTAGTGTTAATGTCAGTGTCAGTTAGTGTTAGTGTGTTTTAGGTAAAAAAAAAAAAAAGACAAAAACAAAATGCGCACTATGGTTTCTGGCCTGTACTACGGGTACAAACAACAAATAACATACACATATATGGTATCGCTGCGATCGTCAAGAGCTGGAGAATTTATTTTGGGTTGCTCTTTGGTGGTAGGTTATGGTCATAACAAGAAACACATAGCTAAATAAGAAAAAAGGATTTTTTTTACTATTTTTGGCCAGTTTTCCTTTGATAATAAAAAAAAAATCAGGAGATATCCATTATTATTTACCACCAAATGAAAGACCAATTTGTCCTGAAAAAATCAAGGTATAATCTACCTGGATGTGCAAAGTAGTTGTGATGATATGTACGGTTTTGCTATCACATGTCAACGGTGCAGAATTGTGCTTAGGCCTTTAGATTTGTTTTACCCTTAGGCGTGAAGGGGTTAACATGAAGAAAGTTCATAAACCATTTTTATAAATCCTGAATTGGCATTGGAGTTGTAGGGTCTTTACAGTACATGTAAACCCAATCACTAAAATCTAAAATTTTCATCTTAAGCTTTAACACTTTTTAGTTTCAAAAGTCGTTTTTTAAATTTTCTTCATTAAAATAATGCGTGATAATCTTTGCATGAAGATGCTTGGGTGGTCACTTCTTGTTGCATGGTGACAAGGCTGTATCACTCAGTTGTGCTCTTGTTTTGGTACGCTGTCTGCCTTGCCAGAATCCATTGCACAACAAGGTTCACTATTTTCAAACATCAAGAAACTCACCCTGAGAAATTATGTGAAGCAGTTTCTGGAATGAATAAATATAGACAGGAGGTGGCTGTAAAGAGCCTGCAGGAAATCATCAGTGCTGATATTTAAAATGGACGAAAACAATATTTTATTTGAAAAACGATATTGATTTATGGTACAAAGTGATAAAAAAACTAGATGTCATTTAGTTTAGGTTTATATCTACTTTGTAGATATACTATATATCTACTTTGTATATCTACCAGTTGTCGCCCGTAGGACATCATATGATGTCCTATATGATGTCATATGATCTCCTGAGCTTTCAGTGGTTATAGTGGGATGATACCAGCCATTGATTCCCTACAGTGTAAAAGACAAGCTAGTGGCTAATAAGCCACTGGATTGCTTTTACGTCCCCTCCTACCAACCACTGATGCCTCTCTGTGACTGTCCCAAGCGATCTGGATGTCCAGGATCTGATCCAGCAATGCCACTGGGTTGTCATACTGCTGGCCGTGGACCAGATGGTCCCCCACAATCTCTATGATCCTGAGAGGCCAAAAGCGACGTGAGGACGTCACTTTCAGTTCTGGCAGATGTAAACACTGACATTTGTTTTTCTGGAAAGCCTGAGATTAATGTTTTTGTTTTTTTTTTTAATCTTATGCTTTCCAGGTAAAGGAGAGATATGGGGTCTCATAAACCCCAGATGTCTCCATGAAGAGAACCTGTCTTGCTTTATTTCTATCACAAGGGATGTTTATATTTCTTGTGATCAGAATAAAAAATGATACAAATTTGAAGGGACAGTGTAAAAAAAAAAAAAAGCAAAAACAAAAAAACCCACTTTTTTTTTAAAGCGTCCACATCTCCCCGTTCTCGTGGGCAATGGCGAAAGCATGCATAGGTTGCGCCCGCATATTTAAATGGTGTTCACACAACACGTGAGGTATCACCGTGCACGTTCTAGCGAGAGCAGTATTTCTAGTTCTAGACTTCCTCTGTAACTCTAAACTGGTAACCTGAAATTTTTTTTTAAAGCGTCACCTATGGAGATTTTTAGGAACAGTAGTTTGGTGACATTCTACGAGTGTGCGCAATTTTAAAGCGTGACATGTTAGGTATCTATTTACTTACATAATATTTTATATATTTTTTTTTTTTTTTAATCAAGCAAACTCTTTATTAAGTGGAAAAGACATGTAGTCACATCACAAATTCAGTGAAAACAATTTGACAAAAGAATATAGTGGTACACAAGTAGCAAATCCTTTGCCACAGGCAAAGGAAGGAAGACTAACATAATAACATCCAACATAATAGTTTTACAGAGAATAATCATTCCTCCTCCTCCTCCTCATCACAGGTGGAATCAAGCCACTTATCCCAAATTTTATGATATTTAGCAGGACATCCTCTATGTATATAGATAACCTTGTATGGTAAAGTACTATTTACCGCATCTACCCACTGTGAAAACGTAGGCGGCAACGCCTGCAACCACTTACCATAATCTAGCCGCAAACAGTGTCTCTTGCAGAAAAAGAGTTTGAAATTTGTCTGTTTCTGAACTAGGAAGAAGACCGAGTAGACACTGCTTAGGGCAGAGGGTAAGGGGAGAGCCCATTTTATTATGGAGGAACCCGGACCACTTGAGTCCAATAACCCCAAACGAGGGGACAATACCATATTAAATGGAAAAAAGTACTGTCCGTTTCCCCACATTTAGGACAGAGTGGGCTATACTGTGGCCTGTATTTAGACAATCTGATTGGTGTTAAGTAAGTTCTATGTATGATATATAGCTGAGTGAGACGATCTGATAGTTTAGGGAAGACTGTCTTGGTCGAGGACAGTACCTCCTCCCACATGTCATCGTCCAGCTCTCCCACATCCACCTCCCAATGGGTTTTTAGTTAGTATGCCAATATTGCTGCAGAAGGGCAGAAGGTGAAAGTAGAGCATTATAGAATGTGGACGTAAGTTTCTTGGACTCCATACCCATAACCGCATCCATAAGACAGTTGGAGTTGAGTTGTAAAATGGAGTCGCCAAACTGAGCACACAGAGCGTGATGGAGCTGGAGATAACGAAAAAACATGAAGTTGGGGAGGTCATATTCCATTTTAAGGTCCTGAAATGGTTTGACACCCGCACCGGTGAACACATGGGAGACATACAAAATCCCCCTACTACTGATCCACAATCGAAAATCAGGGAGTGTGTGCAATTCAGGGAGGTCCGGGTTGTCCCACAGGGAAGTATGGGCCTGGATATATGGAAGCTGTAACTTATTAAAGGCCAGCAACCAAATCTTACAATGGTGATACAGCAATCCCCTCTGGCCCCCCACAATCATGGGGTCCCGCACTCCCCACAACAATAATTGGAAGGGGTGAACGACCCAAGAAAAAGCCAGGGCGCACACCAATGCGAGGTATCTATCTCTATCCCCCTTATTTAAATTAAAAAAATGACAATTGGGCTGCCAAATAATAAAGATTAATATCAGGGAGCGCAGTACCCCCCCAGATGCGTGGGATTTTTGAGAGCACACCATGACAATTTATGACGCATATTGCCCCACACAAAAGAATTAAGCATAGAGTCAGGGGACTTAAATACCTAATCTTTTATATTTTACCAAAAATTTGGGTTATATATTGTGGTTTTTTTGCCTTAAAATTCATCAACAACTTTAACTCCACCCTATAGCAGAAGTACTGCTACAAGGCAGCAGGGCTGTGTACAATCACGTGTATATATACATGATTTGGATTTCCGAGTGTGCGTGCGTGCCGTTCTACCCGCTCCACTATTGGTGGCTAGAGATGTCAATCACCAGGTCCCAGCCAGCAATTCCCCGCCACCACTCGGTGATCGTTCGGGAAAGCTGACAACACAGGTCTCTCTCCTGTCAGCATGGGCATGATGTTTTGTATCTCTCTGCACAGCAGAGAGATACAAAACAACATGTCTACCGCCATTTGTAGATGCTATAACTTTCACGTAAACCAATTAATTTACACTTATTGGGATTTTTTTTTAGCAAAGACATGTAGCAGAATACATTTTGGCCTAAATTTATGAAGATAGTAGATTTTTAAATTTTTTTAACTGGAAATGTTTAATAGCAAAAAGTCCAAAATATAGTTTTTTTTTAATCAAAATTGTCGATCTTTTTTTATAGTGCAAAAAATTAGAAACGCAGAGGTGATCAAATACCACTGAAAGAAAGCTCTATTTGTGGGAAAAAAAGCACAGAAATTTCATTTATGTACAGTGCAGCGCTGTATCGCAAACATTAGCTTTGTCAGGAAGGGGGGTAAATCCTCTGGAGGGCAAGTGGTTGAAGTGTATTTTTTCCCAAAATATTGCGTTTGAAAAATTGCTTCACAAATACCATGTGACATAAAAAAATTGCCACACACCATTT